ACATACACAAAGAAGAGGGCCGTGCAGCAAGGCCGTGCGCAAGCCTCAGAGATTGATCCTTCCAGAAGGCCCAAGCTCCCACATCAGTGTCCCCTCTGACCCCGGCCACCTGTCTTTAACAATAAAACCCACATGACCATGTGCTGTTTGCACTGTGTCCTTGGGGGAGCGGAGGAGGAAGAGAGGAGTGGTCTCGCTGTGTAAAAAAGAAGGCCGTTAACCTTTATCAATTACCTACTAAGTCCTGCGCAGTAGATAAGTGTAGACATCAATATTCCCATTTTACAGATAAGTCACTCAGAACACTACCGTGATTTGTCAAGTCTCAATGTGAAGGGGAAGCAGGGATTTGCACCCAGGCCTGAAGCAACCAATTTTGCTCCTGGAACAATTCCTTAAAGTAACAATGAACACTTTGCTGCCCCTGCCTCCCTACCCAGCCCAAGAATCAACCTTCCCAAAAATGAGAATAAAAGACAAGACTCCAAATTTACCCAAAAGAGAGCAAAAGGAAAGTTGAGGAGGAAGAGGAAGAAATATATATTTGCATATAAATATGTATATATTTACATATTGTCTTTCTCTCCCATACTTAGTTACCCGAACACTTCATTAACTAATTCTCCATAGACAGGCTGGGAGCATCATTCACCTCAGCTAGAAGAGTGACTTCAACAGTACTTAGAATTTTAACAACGTCCATGATCATAAGGGATTTGGAAGGTCCCACAGAGAGGATGAAAGGGGACCTCTCTACCACCCAGTTTCTTTAAGACCCCCGTAGTTATGAAGAGACACAGGAAACAGGAACACCACCACCTCTGCCATCTCCAGAGGAGTTTTTCACAGCAATTCCTAAGTCCTGCTCAGCGGAAAACTCTGCAAGTCAAACGCCACAGCAGAAGTGCAAACTCCCAGCCCCAGGAGATGAGGCATTCAAGAACTTTGTTGCTGAGCTAGCAGCAATCCCTTGGCGTCCTTGGGGAGGGAGCAAACACAAGCCTAAGTCACGACACAGGCCCCTACCCTACTCCAAGTTGGGGGAAAAACTCTCAAGGGGACACAGGGGCGAGCCTCAGACGCCACAAAGAGGCCACAACCAGGACCGGGCCAGGAGGGGAGAACAGCCAGTGGCGCAGGAGCAGCCAGCTATAGGCACGCCCCCTGGACCCACATGAGCCAGCTAAGGAAGAAAGCCCCATGAGACTCCAGCCAAGCCTTTCAACTGGAGGGCCTAGCTACAACTATAGTGAAAGGCGTTTGGGCTTTTTCATGAGACAATGAGGCAGAAGTTCTCCCTCATGGGGAGAAAGCAAGAGCTGGAAAGACTTGCTATCATCCTAACTCTTAGGGATGGTCAGCTACCAGAATGTGCTCAGTTCCACTTGTGAGATAACCACCCAGGGCCTCCTCCCCCTCTCCCGGGAAGGAAGGGGCATCAGGTCACCCAGAAAACAAAAAAGGTCCTGATTCCCCCAAAGGGTCCCTGGGTTGCTTGGAGCTCTGGAAGAGGCTGTCTCCACTTCCTCATTTCCTGCTGGGAGCTTCAGGGTTGACCTGCTTCCTGGGCTTTCCCCCACCAACCCCAAAGCCCACGGCACAACCTCCCAGCACTGGGGCAACACCCTCGGAGGGGGCTGCAAGAACTGGCCACCCTCTGGCCAAACTGGTATTAACTTTTCCTTTTTACTCTTGATATTACACAGAACCCTGTCCCTGCTGTACCAGGAAGCCATTTCACCCATCTGTCTGGGAAGATGATCCAATTTGGGTCCTTTTATCAACGACGCTTTCAGCAACTTTGTTCTCCTTCCCTACTGTAATTACTTTTGAATCATCAACGCACCCAGACAGCCTTAAAGCTCCGAGAACAGAATGCTAAAGGAGGAGAAAACCCTGCAACGGCAAACAACTTCACTCAAAAACCACCCGAGCTAGGAGCAATTTGTTTTTTTCTAGAAATTTACTTATTAATAAACTGCCACTCACTCCTCCTTTTTCCAAAAGGAGGCAGGACCTAGAGATGGGATGCTGTGGAGACAGGGCAGGCAAGGAACTCCTAAAGGAACTAATTAAAACATCTGTTCCTCACTCTCACTTTTTTTTTTAAGATGTAGGATTTGTTTTAAAGATGCAGGAACGTTGGCCTGCTGGTTGCTGGGTGCCCAAGCAGCCCAGGAAGAAACTATGTCTCCTCTGGAATGCAATCAAATTACATGGGGAAAGACAGACCCACAGCTGCTGGCTTGAGAATTCAGATCCTCCAGGGGTAAGTTTAAAGGACAAACCACACAAAAAAAGAAAATGAAAGACGTAACTCCAAGAAGATCCAACCAACATCAGCAACTAAACACTGTCAGGAAGCCAGCTGCGTTGCTTTCTGCTGTCATCTATTCTGTTCCCCACCCTTCGCCCCGCTGGATGAAACTTCCAGCTCTGATTTGTAAGATGCCCCTTTGGCAGACCAGCTCTCCTTCACTCCTCGGGAGGTCCCTTCACCCAGAAGGCACCCTCCTGAGCCCCTACAGGAGGAGAGGACCTGAAAGGGAAAGCACAGCGTTGTGCTCCCTTCTCAAACACTGCCCCCTCTGGAATCCTCCCATACCCAAATTTCTTCACCTCCCGCTAGCTCTCGGTCCTTCCTTGGGATGAGGATGGGCAGAGAGTGGGGAGTCAGGAGCGAAGTTATCAAAACAGAAAGCCTCTCCCTTCAGCCCTCAGCACAGTTAAGCAGCCAGCAGAAGGGCGACGCTGCAGCCTGGGTCACTGCCTGGGTAGTGAGGCAACCAGGAGAGCAGAGAGTCAGGGGTCTTCTGGGGGTCTGGGGTCTGGGCAGGCAAGGCTCTACCCGACCTCAGGGCAGACTTATTGAAAGAACTGCCAGAGATGCTGAAAGCATACTCTGCCCCCCACCCCCACGGGAATCAGAGAAAGGTTACCACCACCAGCCCAGCTTCTTTGCCCCTAGGCAAGTGGGGGGAGCTCCTTGGGACCGTGAACCCCAGGAATAAGTGACCTGCTGACTAATGTTGCCAAAGAGGGGGAGGTGGGGCGACACGGAGGCCCCGCAGCTGGGCCCCCATCAGGCTTTAGGCCTCACCAAGTTGAACGGCAGCACTGGTCCTTCACGCCCCGTCCTGGGGGTCGAGGGAAGGGCCAGAGCGCTCTGAATCTGGCCCGGAGAGCGTGCTCTCCCGGCTCGGCCCACTGGCCCCAGTCCGGGAAGTTCTGCAGAAAAAACGACACTAGTCTCACTCCCCGCAGAAATTCTTTCCGCTATTTTAGACACATTCCTCATTCCTCCAGGCCCGAAGGGGACTGTGGGGGAGGGGGAGTCTCGGGGCCTCCACCGGGAGCAAACTCCGCGCGCGTCCCCCCGCGGGCCCCGCCTCGGCCGCCCCGCGCACGTCCCCAAGCCCCCCCGAAAGAGCCCGCGACCCCTCGGCCTCCACCCGAGCCGCTGCCCACGGAGAACTCGCACTTTTTCGCTGCGCGATTCAGAAACACGCCGGGTCTGCTGCCATCCGGCGAATTATGTAACCAGGGACACGGCTCCCGGGCCAAACAGACGCGCTGTGTGCGCCGCGGGCCGCGCCGGGGCCGGGGGCTCCGGCCCGCCGGGGGTCGTGCCGTCTGCTCGGCGAGAGCGGCGGGGGCAGCTCTCCCGGCGGGAGCCCCGCGCCGCCAGAGGGCCAGGCCCGGGCCCAGCGCTGGGTCGCCCGCTCCGCGCCGCCAGGGCTCGGCCCCTCCCCCACCGCGGCCGCCCCCGCCTCTGGGCGGTGAACTTGGTCCCAAGTCCCGCTGGACGCAGTCACTGCCCGCTGCCTGAGCGACCGCGGGCTGGGGGGGCCCTGGGAAGTGCTGGACTCCAGTCCTGGCTCCATTCCAGCTCGGGACCCCTCTGTCCCCCTCCCAGACCCTCCCCGCGGTCCTGGGGCAGCAGCGCGCTGCGGTGCGGGAAGGCGACGACCCCACCCCCAACTTTGGAGGAGGCGAACGCGGGTGGACTCCGCTCTGAACGCTACCCCTCCGCCTCTCTGCCCGGGGGGAGGGAGTGCAGGACTGGGTGACAGCTGCGCGGATGACGCCCCTCCCCCTCGGGCGCCGAGAGCAAGGGCCCCGCGCAGCCCCCACGGGGGTCTGAGTGCGGACCGGGACGCGGGGGCGGATGGACTAGGCGGTCCGGTCGGAATCGCCCGCTCTGAGTCCCGGGAGGTCAGGGGCCGGGACTCCGGTTCGGGGCTCTGCTAGCCCCCTCCCCGCTCGGGGGCGACGCAAAGTTTTGGGAAGTTGCTGCCCCTACCTTGCTTGGTGAGCACCAGGGCGTCTTCCCTCCGCGCCTGGGTGATGATGGAGCCGTGTTCCATCTAACAATCCCGCGGGCCCGGGCTGGCTGGGCGGGAGGACCGGCGGGCGCGCAGGCTGGGCTGGGCTGGGCTGGGGGGCCTGGGCGGGGGCCCGCTCCGGCTCCGGCTCCGGCTCCCGAGACTCGGACTCCCACAGCTGTTCACATCCCTGCTCTCGTTCCTTCCCTGGGCCGGGAAGGGAGGCGGCCAGTACGGAGAGCGGGCGGCCCGGGCAGCGGCTCCCCCGGGTGCCCCCGGCCCCGATCCCCCGGCGGCAGCTCCGGGCTCCTCAGTTTGGGTCCAACATGGAGAATCCGGAGCGAAAACAAGAGGAGGAAATGGGACACGGGGCGGTTTCCAGGCTCCCCCCTCCCCTCCGTACTCCAGATAAACAACCCGCGGCTGCAGCGCCCACCCCCGCGCGCCTCGCGGCTCTGGATCCGGCCTCTCCACGGTCCGCCGGCGCCTCCCGCTCCGGAGCACGGTCCTAGGCCCCGGGCCCCTCCACCTGTGAGCGGCCTGGGCTGCAGAACATCCGGAGCTTTGCTATTTTGTTACAGAAAAAGCGAATCCCCGAGGGGGGTGGGGTGGCGGGCGGGCAGGCTGGCGGGGGAGACTTGAAACCGCTCCGGCGCTCCGATTGGCCCTCTCGGAAAAAGGGGGCGTGGTCCCTTCTTACTATGCGGTGCGAGGACCCAACAACATTCCAGTCGCCACGGCCACGCCCCCAGGCCACTCCCCCTCTCCCGGCTGCGGCCTCCCAGTCTCCTCGGCCACACCCCCTTCCCAACTACTTAAAAGGACACTCCAACGCTCACATTTCCCTACTCGGTGCTGGGGTTCCTGTCTGTGCAGTTCTGCTTGGTAAGGTGGACTGGTTCGGCCCTTCGGGTAGCCCGGGCAAGCCGCGAAGCCTAACCCAGGTCGGGCCAGGATGGGAGGGTTCAGGGCAGGTTTCTTACTTCCTCCTTGGCCCTCGAATGTAGACCCACTGTTTCACATACACGAGGACAACCATCGAATCCCGAAAGGGATGTGTGTGTAAGTGGACTCAGGACTCCAGAGTATCAGAGCTGGAACTGACCTCAGGGCTGTCTGACTTCCCCCCTCCACCAAATGAGACAGGAAGTGCGGGACTTTGCTCAGAACCACTCACTTATTCTCATCCAGGGCTTACCCCCTTCTCCCCTTCCTCCGACCCCAGTCCTGCCCGCTTCGTCACCCCATAGTCCCAGCTCAGCTTAAATGGATAGAGGTCTCTAAGGGAAGAGCTTCAGCTCTGTGGACTTTTGCTGCCCTCCCTCCTTGCTCTTAGGCCCCGGGCACCCTCCGCTGACTATGGCTCCTGGATTCTCATGAGTCTCCTGCTCAAGACTGTAGGTGAAGCATGTACATTTGTTCCCAAGCAGCTCCAGAAAGGCAAGTTTCAGCTCAGTATCAGGTCCTTTCCAGTCAGCTACATCTGTCCACAGGTGACATGGCTGCCTTGGGAGGGAGGGAGCTGTTCCTGTCAAGACTGGCAAGAGTGATGCAGAGAGAGATGGCACTGGGTGACTTCTGAGCTACTTCCAACGCTCATAGTCTGCGATTCTATGGAACTCACTTGGCCCAGGAAGGGGCTTCCAGAAAGGTCAGGACTTCTCTAAACCCTGGGGGGTGGGGGCAGCTGATGCCCTTCCTGCTGCAGTTCCCAATGACCAACATGCACGAGGTCTCACTGGGAGGTCGGAGAAGTAGGTCATCTCCTAACTGGACAGGTTATCAAACACCTGCTCCCCACGGTCCCTCCCCATGATTACAGGTGAGGTTGTGATGTGTGTGCCTGTGTGCCTTAACAGTGCTCGTGCCTGCCTGCTCCTTCTGTTCCTACACATAGAGATACGAAACCTTTTTATATAACAGCATTTTAATGGAAATACTGTTTTTCCAAAATGGAAGTAGCTGTTACAGAGTATGTGAATGATGCTTATGTAACTTTAAACACTGAGTTTGGGTAGATCCCAATTCATTAACGAAGGGGAAAGGGAGGAGTTCTCACATATTTACCTCCCATCATTATCAAAGGATCGTTAAAACCCTAGGATTCTGAAGGTAAATCTTCAGTAGTCAGGTTGCTAGGGGGCCTTTGGGGGCCCTGCCCCCACCCTCTTGCAAGGTAGTTCAGTTGCAGTGGGAGGAGGACAGGCAGGATCTGAGGACCAAGTATGGAGGGGGACCTGCTGCAGGCAGCTCTGTCGTTTTGGGCAGGAACCTTCACCCCTCCACGCTCCCATCTCCTCATCCATGGGGATGTCCCTCCCCCACTATGGTTGAAAAAGTACTTTCACATACCTCATCCGCCTCATTTGGTCTCTTACCTCTTTGAGGTTGACAGAGCAGATGTGCCCATTTTCTTGATGAGGAACCAGGGTCTGGAAAGGCTAACTGGCTCACCTAAGGTCTCACGGCTTGTTAAGAAGAGGGGGCAGGACTGGAAGTTTCTTTAGAGTTTAAGACTAGAACTCTTGACACTTTCCCATAGTTCCTTTCCTATCTATAGGATGGAGGAGATACTAGAAGCTAGTCACTGTCTTTTCTTGCTAAGAACTCTGACTGCATCACCCTTAGGGAGCCCTCCCAGATACCCACTCTCACATCAGGGCTTTACAGCCTCCTGCGTACTCTCTCAGAGCGCTTGGCATCATGGCTTGCAACTGTTTGCTTATTGGCTTCCTGATCAGAAGATGGATTGAGACCAGGAACTGTATTATTTATACTGGGGCTCTGTGCCCAGCATAGTGCCTGACACAGAGCAGGCAGCCTTTATGTGTTTGCTGTCAGAGTCTTGACTCTGTGTCTTAACCAATGTCCTTTTGTCCAGGGGTTCAGTGACCCACAGCCAGAGACACATTTTATGTTGTGAGATAACAAAAGTTTCAGGGGACAATACTTATCCTTGCTCTGTGCAGGCACTCTGGTATTTCCTTTCTATTGTGTTTATTGTATTCTATTTCATTTTTTAAAAGTGCTGGCCATGACCCTTTAAATTGATTTCATGACACACCACTGGTTCGTGACCTATGGTGGGAACAACACTGCTTTTATCTCCTGTGGGTACCTTCTGTGTGAAGGGCTCTAGCTGTCCCTGGAAGATGCAAAGGAGATGGCCCTCAAGTACCTCTTGCTCTGAGGTCAAAGAAAGGTTTATGTAGAAGAAAACAGACCCTTTCAAGACCAGAGGTACAAGGGTGCAGATAGAACCCGGGGCGGAGGGGTTGGGTGCAGGAGGGTTTCTGAGAGGCCTGGTGAGGACCCTTCTGCCTCCAGAGACTACAAAGGCAGTGGCAGCTTTGCTGGAGCTGGAGCTGGAACCCCAAAATGCCACGGGCTTCTCACTGCTCTGTCCCCAGATTACAGGTCTCCACCCAGAAAATTCTCTGGGGTCTTGGGGGGCCTCTTTCCTATGGTTAAGAGGGTGGAGGAGGTGGGAGGGAAGTGGACATTCTAACTTCAGCCTAAAATAGCCTCAAGGTAAGTAACCTCCTGCCTCCAGGCCCTGGGCCTTTCGCCTTCGGTGTAACTTGGGGTAGGCCGATTAATTAGGTTCAAGGATGACAGCTGAAGCCAGGACTCTCTAGGCCTAACAACTCTCCCAAGAGAAAGCTTAGGGACTCTGTCTGGTCACCTACCTGCTCCATCCCTTTACCTTAACTGGAAGGGCCCCCCCCCCCCACCCCGCTCCCCCTGCCCAAGCATAAGCAGGTGGGGAGGCGAGGGGAGGCTCAACAGAGTGGCTGTCCATCTGTCTGTCTCCCATGGCTGCTTGACTTGGACTGGGTATCCCTGAGCCGAGGTTTGGGAAAGGGAAACGGAGCTGGAGGAGCTTCCTCGGTGGGCGGTGCATGCTTGCTCCAGAACCCTGCCCCTTGCCACAGACAAGAAACATGGAGTTGGGCCAAGGAGACCTTTCATGACCCTCTGATGTCACCAAAATGTTCCACTTAAGAGCACTTTTTATTTTTGTGACAGACAGAGAACACATGCACTTTCTTGGTTTCTCTGACTGCTCCTGCGGCCTCTCAGTTCCGTTCTGTATGGTCACTGGGAAGGCGGGAGCCTGGCATCCGGGATCCGGAGCCGTGCCCTCCTGTCACAAGGCTTGTGTGCTCCTGTCCTGGCTGCTCAGAGCTGTGTCCTGGGGGTGAGGTGGGGTGGGTTGAGGGAAGCAGACCCAGTGACAGTGACTGAACAGCCGTGGAGGTGCTAGATGCTGGGGGCTGGGGAAGCAGGAGGAGCTGGACGTAGTGAGATGGTGTCTGTAGTGTAGCTGGGGAGAGGCTGAAGCTGGCCCTTCAGCTTTGGGATGCTGCATTCTGCGAGGCATGGGCGGGCGTCGTCCCAACCCTGCCACTTCGTTACTTAGCCTCGTAATTAAATTTCCTCATATGAAAATGAGGATAACGGTAGTCCTACTTTGTCAGTTATTGTGAGGATTAAATGAGGTGGGTGAAGTGTTTAGTGCCTGAAACACTGTAAGTGCTCAACTAATAGTACTGTCACCACCGTCAGCCTTTCCTCTAGACCTGCTCCTTCTGCGACCATCATCTGCCCAGTTCCCCAAGCCAGAAACCCCAGGTCACCCAGGACTCACCCCACCCGCTCAGACCCACTCCAACGCACCCTGGAGACTGTGGCTCCTCCTCTCACAAGTCTTTCCAGGCCTTTTCATGCTTTCCAGTCTCACTGCTGCGATCTCAGGGGAGGCTGGCAACGGGCTCCCAATAACCTCTTGCCTTCTCTAGGTCCCAAGTCCAAATCCATCCCCCACTCTCCTAGAAGATGCAACTCTGACCCTGTCTCTGTGGAATGATTCAGCAGTCCCCAAGACTTGCAGGACCAGCTCGGATACCTGGCTCTGGCTCCTGTGGGTTCCCCCAGCCATTTCCTACATCTTCCCCACACTCGCCCCTGCTTCTGTCCACAGGAACGGAGCACCTGTGATTCCTGGACACCTGTGCCTTCATACCTTTGCACAGGCGGTTCTCTCTGCCTGGATGCCCTTTTCCCTCCGCTGTGTAACGATGCCTCATCCTTTAAAAAACAATTCCAGTGTCACCTCGTCCTCAAATCCTCCCAGGTCCCAGTCTGACTTAGATACTGCTCTGTGTTCTCATTCTGGTTTACCTGACTGTTCCCCCTCATCCAGTCTAAGCTCCTTGAGGGCGGGCACTCCTTTTTTTCTCCTCATCCCTGCTGCCCCTCACAGAGCCTGGCACACACAGTAGGCTCTGCTGGAAGCCAGTCCCAGTGGGCACCTTCCTCCCCTGGGGCACTGCTGATCTCCTAGGCCACTGACCAGGGAGGCTGGCAGGCAGGATGCCAGCCTCCTAGGTACTTTCTCTACCACTAAGGACCAGGGAGTGCCACACTAGGAGCTGAGCCCGGGAGCCTCACGGCCACCACAGGCACTGGAGCCTGGGTGGGAGTCCTGTCATATCTGACTTGGGTTTTCCAAAAGCTCAAACAGGACCGAAGCCGACTGAGGCTTGGTGAAACCGACAGATACACCCCGCCCAGGCATTCAGAAAGGGCGCGTGGGGCCGACGCACCCGCAGTAGGACAGACCCTCGACCCTCCCAACCGGTGGTGGTGAGCGAGAGTGTGAGGAGGACAAATGGAACTATTTGGGGCGGGAGGCGGCAAGCCCGACCGGGATTCCTGCCTCCCTGGGTCCCGGTTCCTCGGGAGCACAGCTTCCCCCTCCCCCCACCTAGTCCTGGGTGGCCACGTGACCTGCGCCCCCAGCAGCCGCTAATTCCTGGCTCTGGCGGCCCTTCTCCTAAATAGGGAAGCGACAGGAGCAGATCGAGTTACTCGGCCTGTATTTACAGGTTCCCTGGACGAAGCCAAACCTCCTCCTTCCCTCGCTCCCCTCGCTGGCGCGATGGGGAAAGGAAAGAAGGGGCGCCTCTTGCGCCCCACCCCCACCCCTTCAGTCGTCCCAACCCTGGGTGCAGCCCCTCTTTCCTGGCCTCCCTCTGCCGCCCCGCCAGCCCCTCTGGGGGCACCGCTTAGGTCGCCGCATTCCAAACCCTGGGCGGCCCTTTGAGTTCACGTGGTGCGGTGGGGGTGGGGCGGCAGGACGCCCCTGACCCACGCTGGCGACATAGGCTAGGCTTTCCAGGGATGCAGATTCTGGTCCCTTCTCCCCAGACCTCGGGGAGGCCAGATTCGTTTGGGCCTCCAGGGCTCCGGGAGTGATGCACGGCGCGTTTTCCCTCCAGTGCCTACTGTGTGTCTGGCCTCTGCGGAGTACTCAGGCGTTGGACCTCGGGGCCTCCCTGCACCCCAGGCAGGAGCAGCGTCCCTGTCCCATTGGGAAACAGTGGCCAGGAGTCACCAAGGCATGCCAGCTCGGAGGGCTAGAATCTCAGCTCTTTCCCTGCAAAACGAACAGGGAGGTGAGAAGACTGGGGCGAGCCAGTCACTCAGTTTAGGCCAAGATCTATCCTTGTTAGGCAGGCCAAAGTCAAGAGCTAACGGTGTCCCCTCTATTTAGCCTGGGTCCCAGACCTCTGAGAGCTGTACTTTGGGCCTGGGGACCAGGAAACTAAGGGGATTGATTTCCTTCTGGGCTGAGCAGACAGATAA